TTTTTTTTATGGTCTTACTCAATACGCTTATGTTTGTACATAAGAAATCCAAGGGCAGTAAGTAAGAACGGTCATAAAGAAAAGAATGTAAAAAATGATCACTGTGTCATTTATGTCTCTTATAGGAAAGCACTCTAAAGTAAATAGAGGATATAAAACAGAAAGAAGAAGATTTTATGTCGTAGAAAGAAGAAGAATTCTTCGACATAAAATCTTTTGTTAATATTATATAGAAATGCCAAAGAGCAGAAGTCAGATCAGTTTATGTCAACATTTGTGATTTTATTGACACTGTTTGCTGTTATAGTGACCCAATAAACTAAATAAATGTAAAATACTTTAAAGAGTATTACTTACGGAATAAAAAATATTGAAACGCGTCTATTGCAATATAAAATCAAATTTTGATAGGTTTGCTATATATATATATAAAAAACGCTATATATATATAAATAATACATTAATGTTCAAGTATAGTATCTATTATAAGCCATTGCGCGTGTTAAAAGGGCATAGTAAGAGTGCTGGACTGAACCCTTGCTGAAAGAGGAGCGGAAGCGATCGATGAATCGACGATCCGTGAAACGTCCGTCAGAGCGAATAAGCACTTCTGATATTCACGACACAGAAATTGTAATTGGATTCGCAATCCGCGACGTTCACCGATTTCTCGTGTGTCGCTGCGTCCGTAATTTTCATAAATTCGCGATAGTATAAGGTAGTCAAACGTGGTCTCACTAATCAAAATCAATTTATTTTTTATCCTTAGGTGTACCACTGGCAAAGTCAAAATGTCAAAATTTCTGGGGTGGACGATATGGTTCTTCTACCAAAGATCAATGAAGATGCCATCATCGAGAACCTCAGGAAGAGATACATGGACGATTATATATTTGTATCCTTTTTTATGTAAAATAATTATGCGTAATTTTGAAAAGACATTTTAAGATGGCTTAATAATAAACTGTAACAAATAATTCATAAATGTTCCTTAAAATGCTATCAGACGTGTATCGGACCCGTATTGGTGTCGGTTAATCCTTTCAAACAAATGCCATACTTCGGAGAGAAGGAAGTCGAAATATATCAAGGCGCGGTAAGAGTGAAAATTCTATTTTTCTCGTTAGAAAACATAAGAAAAGTCTATGTCATTTTAGGCACCGTACGAGAATCCGCCGCACATCTATGGATTGGCGGACGAGATGTATAGAAACATGCTGATCGACAACGAAAGTCAATGCGTTATTATTAGGTAAACTGACAAACGCTACTTGCATTAAAATAATCTTACCTTAATAAAAAAATTTCAATAAAATATTTATACATTATTTGATATTTTGAAATATTTATTTAACATATTAATCGAATATTAATTTAACATATTAACTGAATATTAATTTAATATATTAATCGAATGTTAATTTAATATATTAATGGAACAATTTGATATGTTAATTGAATTATTAATATTAATTTAATATATTAATTGAATATTAATTTGATATATTAATTAAACATTAATTTAATATATATATCGAAAATGTGCTTGTTATGTTTCGATCTTTACTTTGCAGTGGTGAATCGGGCGCTGGAAAAACGGTTGCGGCGAAATATATAATGTCCTACGTGACGAGGGTGAGTGGCGGAGGAAAAAAGGTACAGAAAGTAAAGGACGTGATCTTGGAGTCAAACCCACTTTTAGAAGCTTTCGGCAACGCGAAGACAGTGAGAAACAATAACAGCAGTAGATTTGTACGTTTCAAATTGTACTCGAATTGATTCACTAGTTTTTACTAATTTGTTAAATGTACTACAGTCGACAAAATTATTATACTCGAACAGAAATAAAGGAAATCTTAAATTTTCAGGGAAAATACGTTGAGATGCAATTCGGGCCGGGCGGTCAGCCAAACGGTGGAAAAATTTCGAATTTTCTTTTGGAAAAATCAAGAGTAACTTGCCATAATCCCGGCGAGCGGAACTTTCATATATTTTATCAGTTAGCGATGGGCGCCAATCAAGAAATGAAAAGTGAGTGATCGATTAAGACAAAAGTATCGGTGACAAATAAAATTAGTATAGTTTAGAAAGATAATAAAAAAGTATTTAAATTTTCTAGCTGAACTTGGATTGACGGATCTCGATTATTATCAATATTTGAGTTATGGTGGTAGTTATAGAGTGGACGGCACAAACGATGCGCGAGATTTTCAGGAAACTCTTAAAGGTACGTAATTAAAATGTATCTCACAGTGATAATTAATTTCTGTGCAATTATAATTAATAGTATAATGTTTCATAATTATTACAGTACATTCTTGTATCTTTCTTCCTGATTACTAATAGACTTCGCTAATTTAATACGTTACTTTAATAATTATGTATTGTTTAATGTCTACAGCGTTGAGTGTTATGGAAATGAAAGACGCAGAAGTAATGGATATATTCAGATTAGTAGCTGGAATTCTTCACTTGGGAAATATACAATTTGTTGAAGACGGCAATTATTCCCAAATAGCTGATAAACACTGTAAGCTATTCTACATGCTAATTAAGGTTGCTTTCCAATATTTACTGTCCAATATACTGAAAATCTTATACAGCATTGTATTACATACCTTATATATGTAAATTTTCAGCATTGACAGTGAATACAATGAATCGAAACTTAAAAAATAAAATATGTATGAGATAATATAACAATTACATAACTTATCTCTTATATAATCGATAACTTATATAATCGATAACTTTGTATATAAGTCGCATAAAACATATTTATCCATATCTTATCATACTATATATAAACATTACTAATCGATAATAAAATAAGTTTTAATATAATTTCTGCGCGTATTTGTATTATTATTTACATTTTCTGCTTTTTTAAAAATCTGATTCTAATTGTATGCTTTTAGTTCTCGAGTTTCCAGCCTACCTCTTTAGAATCTCGGCAGAACAACTGTCACACAAATTGATTTCTCGAGAATTCGAGTCGAAATGGGGAAGTCAATCCGAAAGTGTAGATGTGATGTTGAATGTAGAACAGGCGCTTTATACGAGAGACGCTTTAGCAAAGGACATCTACGCTAGGCTTTTTGACTACTTAGTTAAGGTGTGGCAGAGTACTCAAAGTATCAAAGTTTATTTAAAATGATTAATTTTTTAATTATATAGAAGAATCGCGTATTTTGCGCTGATTATATAATCTTATCTGTCAGAGAAAAATCGGTAAATAATTAACTATAATTAAATTAATTAAAATTAATTATAATTAAATTAACTATAAAGAAAATAATTAACTATAATTTTATTTCTTTAATTTTTTTAAAAAGAATTAATTGTTTTTATTTGATATAAGAAATACATTTAAGAAATATCTATTTTAATTATATCAATGTAATCTTTTGAACCCAAAATTATCGCATAATTTTAATTCTGCTGGTTTATTCAAATTTATATGATACCGTTTGAATTGATATGATTATATAGGAAATAAAAAAAAATTTTCACAGAGAAAAGATCTTACAATTAGACGAAGTTATCAAATGCCAAAGAAGAAAGTTTTTAAATAAAATATTAGTAAAAGAATAAATTATATTCTGGTTCAAATAAATCCGAATAGATCAGCAAAACTAAAATTATGTTAAAAAACATATTTAGTTCTTCTGTTATTAATTAATTGATAATTTTACAGAAAGTCAATTCAGCTATGGAAACAAACTCGGATGGATACGAGATTGGAATTTTAGATATATATGGCTTCGAGATTTTTGAGAAAAACGGCTTTGAGCAATTTTGCATAAATTTTGTGAACGAGAAATTACAGCAGATTTTCATTGAATTAACATTAAAAGCAGAGCAGGTAAGTTCTTTCGTTATTATTGTTCTCTTTATATTTCACGTTAAAGTAGACTCGGTGTCTCTTTGTTAAGGATAAACAACAAATTGGCAAAGAATAGGAGTAATAAAAATATTTTACTGGCTACGCGCTTATATATATGTTACACACACACACACACACACACACACACGCGCGCGCGCGCGCGCACACGCACATACACATTCTCTAATTCTATATTAGTTAACTATATATATTACAAGTATATATTAATCTGTATAAATAATAATATTTATATATTTTTATCATGAGTCGTTATATCCGGTATATTATAAATTAAGGATAAGACTAATATTAGAACATCAAATTTAACTTTGCAACTTTAAATATTCTCTGAGATATAATAATTATCTCTATAAAATTAGCATTCTATTTCCAGAAATTTCCGATATGATTGAGCTTTGGCTTTTCTCATATTAGATACTGATTCTAACTAAAATAAAAAAATAAAATAAATTTTCCAATCATTCTGTACAATAGAAGACATGAAGACAGTTTTTCGGAATTCTATATTAAATAATTACGAGATGTCCTAAATTTATATTTAATCGTTAAAAATATTTTTGTGTATCTTTAGAGAAAAGTTAGAACTCTATTAATTGTATCGAATTCTGAAAATACTGAAAACAGAGCATTTATTTCACAAAAAGCTGAAGATAATATTTTTTAATGCAATCACAGCTAACGAGATATTTGAAATTTTATGATGTTTACAAAATATCATTCTACAAAAAACATAAAAATTTTGTTATTCATATAACA